TTCATCTCAACGCTTGCTTCTGTCTCTCTCGTTTCTTCTTCAGCCTTTACTTTTTATCGAAGGATCTTCGACTGTACAGGAATTTCATCTTCTTTTTTTCTGTGATCCTCTCGAAGCGACAGTTTTTAAAATGAGATTACTTGCTGAGTGACAACTATACTACACAAAAATCAAAGTTTTGCTTTACTGACGATTCTATTCTGACCTGTCAGCAAGTTTTGCAGGAGTAAAAATTTTGTTTTTTTTTTTACTTTTGAGTTCTTGTACGTCATCAAGTAGAGGCAAAAAATTGCTCGCTGACCTTCTCGTGATATCTCGTTTTCATTTTTTTTAAGGTTTTTTAAATCAGTTTATTTTAGACTGGTGACTTATATCTTCATCTTCAACTATATATAACCTAACCCCATTCAGAATCACTTTTGAAGGTAAGGCCACAAAGACAAGGACGGAAGTTGCCACCGTCAGACCAGCTTTGGCATCTTGCTAAGTTAAAAATTTCACTCATTGGAGACTAAAAAATTGTTGTAATCAGCTTTAATATGTTTTAAAACACGCGAACCTTCGAATGAACAACTCGAATTTTCTAGAGAGATGACACTTATTGATGAAAGTTTTGAAGAGTTAAAAGGACGCAATAAAATTTTATTGTTGAACTTTTTATTTCTCATGTACATTATTGGAAACGTGAGGTTTGGTGTTATCACGCAGTAATAAATCTCCCTCTTTTTTAAAATGCTTCAAATACTTTATATCCAAATCTTCATCTGTGTACTCCGCTCTTGAGCTGTATTTATGCGCAAATTTAATCGTCATCGTTAAAAGAGTCTTTACAAACCACTCTGTAACTGTTTTATTAAACAGTGACTATTACCTTTAGAGCGCCAGAGTTCAAGTCTGCCATCTAATCAAATATCAACTGACATCTCTTAATGTATATTCTACTTCCGGCTATCGGCCTCTATTCTTTGCTGAAAATGAATAAAAAACGCATGAGTTCTGAGCTGTTGAAAGAAAATTCTGTGGTGCTGCAGAAATACTTGTTACAATTTGGGGGCTTATTAGGTATTCATTATTCCAGTGTCGTCTTGTTGTCTAATGCAGACATGTGCAGACTAGATACTACATTTTAAAGTGAAACTGCCTATCAGAAGAATGCCAGTTTTTTATAATTCAATCCTGTTTCCAAACCTTGCAATCCTTGACTGCGTAGTTCGCCATTTTATAATGGTTATTGCAAATATTCTGTTGGCTTCCTCACTGATTGCAGTACTTTTTTTCCTTAAAAACAAAAAGAAATCACTCAAAAACAGCATTTTTGTATTCAAAATAGAGTTATCTAACAGGCAAGCTGAAAAGCAGTTGTGCATTAAGGAGGAGAGATTAACTGTTGTTTTTTGAACAGTGCGTAACTTTTTTTAAAATATGAGTTAGGAAGGTTCAAAAGTCATTATGAACCAATTGTGATGGTTCATTTCAGCAAGTTCAAGTTCTTTATTTTCTTATCAGTCTGTACAGTGACTAATCAGATTACACAAGAACTAGCACAGGCAACAATAAATCTTTATCAAGTGTGGTGAAGTAATTATCAGGTTGGGTTATTAGTTTTTTCTCCAAAAATTTTTCAGATGCAATTTTCTAACTTTACAGGTAGTGTTGGATGAAAAAAAATTAGGATATGATCCCAGTGGAATGGATTTTTTTAATTATGGGCAGTATCTAATAATGTGTGGAAGCAATCGTCGAATCACACTTTACAATCGTGAAGGTAATTTTGATTATATATTTCCCATAAAATTTCAAAAAAAAAACAGTGAAGAACAAAAACGAAGGAAAAACGTTTTAGAAGTGAGCGTTTGACTGAAGATATTGTAAAAACCAAATTGAAGCAAACATTGGGGACAGCTTTGAAATATTTCACCTTTTGTATTGTATTATTTAATGTTTTCAAGGTACCACTTTGGGAACCATTGCTGAAATGGAATCTTGGGTATGGTGCGTTAAGTCAAGCCATGTTTCCAATGTCATTGCAGGTATTGCTTTTAATTTCGATTGTAGGTAGATAACTTTGCTGTATTTTTACTTGGAAAAAAATTTTAGTTGGTTGCGTAGACGGAACGTTAGCTTGCTTTCAGCTTAAATTTGGCGCAGTTCATGGATTACACAAAGTAGGTTCATGCATTTTTACTCTTAGTCTTTCAACTGCATTCTGTACCACTTTTGAAGCATCATTGGGGTAAAAACGACTCTTTTTACCTGTCTATTATGTTTTTCGTGCTTACACACTGTGAAGGCTGTAAGCAAACTGAGAAAAAAATTGTTGAAATAAGTAATGTAAAAATTTGTAAGTGACAATTACTTTTTTTTTTTGAATTATTATTTTCTGAGATATAAAAATGAAAAGATTTAAGCATACAAATTTATTTTTAATATAATTGATTAAAATTGTTTTTTGCATTTAAAGGAAAGATACGCATACCGGGAGAATATGACTGAAGTAGTCGTTCAACATTTTGGGAAACAAACCTCTGTCAAACTACACTGTAATGATCTCGTAAAAAAAATCGCAATTTATCGAAATAAACTCGCGGTATAGCCAAAATAAAATTTTTATCTTCATTTTTTTTAAATTAGTTTTTATTGTTATGATTCTGACTATTTGGTATAGAAAAAAACTATATACAGTAATCAACGATACGCCTTATTTTCGACTCAAGAAAATGTTGCTTTTATTTTTAACAATTGAAGTATGACGTATTTGTCAATCGCTTTTTTATAACAGATAACTACTAATTGCTAAGTGTAAATCTGTTCAGACATGACAAAAATATTTGATAAAATATTTAGGTGCAACTCTCAGATCGTATTCATATCTATCGGCAGATTATGGAACGTGAAGATGGCAAAATGGAGTATCGCTTGGTGGAGAAGATTATAGGCTCATTCGACTGCTCTTTATTGGTATTTCTTCTGCATAATCATCAAAAAAGATAGTTAAATGCAATCATCAAAACCTAAAGGCACAATTAAATCAATATTACAAGTTTTCTTACTGTCTTTAGGAATAAAGTTGAAAGTAATTTTATATTAACATTATTCTTTTTGAAGTTGCTAATCAGCTCTTGTTTTAGGTCGTTTGCATGCAGCATATAATACTGTGCACAGAAAAATTTTTGCAATGTTATAATCACAAGGGAATGAAGGTTCGGGATTGGATTCTTGATTCGTTGATTAAATATATCAAAGTAATTGGTGGTCCATCTGGGAAGGAGACACTGTTGGTTGGAGATCGAAATGGAACAGTAAGTTGATGCATTTACTATAACAGCAGTAATTTTTTACTACTATAACTGAACATTGTGTTTGACTAAAAAGTAATCTGTACTTCTCAGAAAGCTAAAAAAAAAAAAATTTTTGCAGGTATATAAAGTCTTTGTCGATAATCCATTTCCAGTTCGTATTGTACAGGTGAAGCATGAGGTTTTTTGCTTAGATGTTAGCCATTTAAGGTAAATTTTTAACTGATAAACAAATAATTATTTTCTTTAAATCATACACCAATTTGATACTGGTCTTCTAGTCATAATTTTCTTCTTATAAAATACACCAATCAAGACTTTTTGTTGCTATTTGACATTTCTGTAGAGCTTTACATAAATCAAACTGGCTTCCACATAAAAATTACTTCTTTTATACAGTAACAATGATCTTCAAGCTTTTTTTTGTCATATTGTCGTTGGCAAGAAGAAATCAAAAGAGAGGCTGGGATATGACATTGAGGCTTTGTCTACACTCATTATTCTGAAAATTTTCTTTTCCTCTTTTACGTATTTCTATATTGCAAGTGCTGTATTATGTCTTACTATCAATTTCCAAAATTTTCAGTTTTACTAAGATATTAGAAAACGAAATAAAGAGAGTGAGATAAACATTTTTAGTTCTGAAAAGTTGTAGAACTTTTTTGAATTATTGTTAAATTTATAGCAAAATTATTGAGCATTCAGAACAGTACAAATATTTCTCATACATCTGTAGAGAAGGCTGTTTGTTCTGTTCTATTTTCTCAGTAATTCTTCTTTTGTTTTTGTTATGGAGGTGTGTTGGTCTAAGAATATCATATTCTTGAGTTGAGGCTTTTAAATAAAAAACATCTGTGAGAATAATGGCTTGAACAAGTTTTCAGTGAATAAATATCATTGTAAATCTTAGCTTTCAGTAAAAGTTCTTTTTTTCTATAGGACGAAGTTAGCTGTAGTGGATAAAAGGCGTATTTGTTCGGTCTTCAACATTTATACCAAGCAGTTACTTTTCCAAGTAATATTATTTCAATAAATGATTCCTCGTTTAATTAGTATGCATTAACTGTTATAATTGCTTTCTTAAAAAATGCTCTTTTAAACTAAAAACCGCTGTCTAGTGAGTAAAATTTTAAACCCATTTTTAAATCAGTAGTAGTTTTCAAAGAATATTTGTTATATTAATTTAATTTTTCTACTGTACTTTGTTAGCAGTGAAAAATATAAAAAGCGATTTATTTGTAACACCGTTTGAGAGTGCAAATGTTATTAATTAAATTTTTTCAGGAGCCTCACAGTGATAGTGTGGCGTGGAACGCAGATCACGACGACCTGCTTTGTTTTTCTGGTGATGATGTACTAAATGTGAAAGCTAATGATTTTGCTCCTTCACGACAAGATATTATGGTAGTTTTGGTTTTTTCTTCAAGATAATTTGTCAAAATGCATATTCTTTTTAAATTCTGTAATTGGTGTCACAAAACAGAGTAACTTTTATGATTAGGTGAATAAAGTGAATCATGCTTTCAGGGTATGGTTGTCGGATTTTCTGGTAAACGAGCATTTTGCTTGAATATGTTTCGTGTAAGCGCTATCGAGGTTCCGTTGTCGACGCATCTATACAAATATCTAAGCAAAGAGAAATTTGGGTAAGTTTTTTTTCACTGTTCACATGAATAATTTAAAAGCGTGAAAAGTGCTAATATTTTCTGTGATTAACTATCGTGTAAATCGCTTTTTCAGAAAAGCTTATGAAATTGCTGCTTTTGGTGTCACCGAAAGTGACTGGGACCTTCTTGGCACTAAAGCTCTTGAAAGTTTCGACTTAGAAATTGCAAAAAAGGCTTTTTTCCGAGTTAAAAATTATAAATTTTTACAACTGGTTTATGAAATCGAGGTATTCTCTTTTCTAAAATTATTTCAAAATTAAAGGCTATAGTATGATATTTTTAATTTTAAGGAAATGAAGAACAATGGGGAGAATGCAAATGTTATTCTGGGTTATATAAAAGCATATCAAGGTCAGTTCCGTGAAGCTGCATGCTACTTTCAAAAAGGTGGACAAGAACAGAAAGCTTTAGAAATGTTCACGGAGCTTCGTATGTTTGACCAAGCAGAAGTGAGCAGTTGGTTTTACGTTAAGCTCCTTCTGTTCGTTTTTATAAGAAGAATCACAAAAGCAAGCTAAGCTTTCTAAATATTTCAGAAGACCTATGAAAAAGCTTTTAAGATTCTTTTTTAAAATAATGTCTGCTAATTTTCAAAGGATTTTTTATCCTCGGCATCTGGTGATACTCAAAGAGCGCTGATGAGGAGGAAGGCTGACTGGGCTAAAAGCTCTAATGAGCCTCGTGTCGCTGCAGAAATGTTCATGGGATCAGGAGACTACGATAAGGCGTTAACTTTAATGATCGAAAATGACTGGTTTGACATGTAAGACATGCAGAATATTGAGAAGATTATGCTATTCTGTTTATTTGAAACTGTTATGAGCGGTTTTTGTAAACAAAAACTTCTGTGATCTCTTAAGCCTTTCTTTATCCGAAAAAAACTCTTTATCAACTTTAACAATTGGGGCAGAAATTTTTGTGCGCAACGGTGGATAGTTTTATAGGATCCTGAGTTTGATGCGACGTTTAGACCGAAGTGAAACCGATTTGCTGCGAACAATTGGTACATATTTGGTGAAAAAAAAAGAGTATATGGTTGCTGCTCAGTTGTTCCTGTCAATGAACGATATACAATCGCTCGTTGCAATGCACGTAGAAGCCAAGCATTGGAATGATGTTAGTTTCTTACTGTTTCTTTGACAGCATTGGGCCAGTAAAATCTTTTTTTT